GGAAAGGAGCGGGCTCAGCACCTGCCGGCACCCCCGGGTGCCCGCCGGGTCCCTTGTGGTGCCATCGACCTCCACCCCTCGGTGCCCGCTGCGAGCACTCCCAGGGTGCTGGCGGCAGGGACCTCCCGGTATCCGTTGCGGAGCCTGTGGGCATCCCCTGTGGCACCCAGCGGTGGTGTGGTGGTGTGTGCTCTGTCAGCGCGGGTGGGTGCCTGGCTTAGAGGCCCCACCTACCCCGTAGTGGGGTGGTGTGGCGTGACCCCATCTCGCTATGTGCGTGGGATCGGACATCGAGGGTGACCTTCCGCCACCTCTTGGCATGTGTTGCTGCACGGATGAGCGATTCCCATCAAAACCCGTCTGGAGGTGGAAGGTGTCAATGTGTAACTCGGCCCTCTGGAACATGGGTGTGGGCTGGCCCCCGGGGTCATGGAGAGAGGGGAGCCGGGGGCTATAAGAGCCCATCCATCCCCACAGCGGAGCTGGCCAAGGGAGAGTGGATGCCAAGGGGAGCCCTCGCAGGTTGTGATGTGTGAGGCGGCACACACTGCACTGGTGATTTGCAGAGTTCTCTGGTAAATCAAGTTGGCTGGTGACTTACAGCAGCGCTGGATTACATCTGTATGGGTGCGTGCTAGTGTCCGACTTGCCGGGGGAGTTTTCCATCACCTCTGGGGCAGTGAGGCTCAGGAAAGAGGTAGGACTGGTTCTGCTGAACTGACAGATTTGTACAAAACTGGCTGGTGTATGTGCTGCCCTAATGCTTCTTTATGTGAACTTATTTTGCACAATGGAAAAACATTATTATGTCGTGGATAAGTTTTGTTCTGGTGTTTTGTTTTAAACTCCATACTTTTTCCCTTATCAGGCAGAAATGGAAGGAAATATTTATGTTGATGATCTCCTTGCATAACTTACAAAAGGGAAAGTAGAGGAGCATGAGAAACAGGTAGACCTGAGTTCTGAGAACCCAGATGGAAATACATATATTCAGTGTGAAAGAACTTGAACAAATATTTAAATGTGGGGAGCTACTGTAGTTAGAACATGAGTTAAAGTCTGATGTCGTCAAAGTCCAGATGCATCTTTTTCAGTCCATTTAGTTCATGTCGGTATGTATGCAGGTGTTTGGATACAATGAGTACTTTAAAAACAACTGTACTGTATAACTGTTGCTCTAATGCTGTTACTTGCAAGCTGAGGGTAACAGAAATTTCAGGTGATAATTGGAAGAACATTGCCTGAAAAATAAATAGAAATTTACGTGACATCTAATTCAACTTAAAATGAGGGATGTTACCATTCTGGCTCGTGCTGTCTTAATTTGTATCGGTGCCTTGCAAAACTGGAATAGCCGATTGTTAATCACATGGTGATTCTGCTGACATCGGCTTTCTTTGCAGCCATGTGCTGCTCACAGAAAGCAGCATACTTAACCAGACTCTGCTTGCACAAATAACAATCTGGAAACAATCATATTGCTACTGTCTTTCTCAAGATTCACTTTGCCACAGATTAATACAAGTTTCGGTGCTGAGTGTTAACGTTTCAGTTGTACTCATGTTCTTCCTTTAGACCAATTTTTTTTTTTTTTTTTGTGCTCCTCTGTCATCTTTAAGCCAAATTTTAAGATTTATAGAAAAAGAGCTTGATATTGTGATAAAGTTGCTTAGATAAAAGAAAATAGTTGCAGCCAGATACCTCTCTCTTGCCACAGTAAAACTGTTGTTATTCAGTTCATTCCCCAGGGTTTCTTTTTGTTGTTGTTGGTAAAGGCTTTCATCAAGTAGCTCTTTTCCTCTGATTCTTATTCACAGTGAGTACAACTCACTGAAAACCTTTTTCTGACCAAACTCCAAGTTACTGTTTCATTCTTTATGCTTCATTTCTCCATATCAGTATTTTTGAAGCAACTATCTTTCCTGGAGTCTGAAACATCATCCTTAGGTTTTGTGAACAGTAAGGTTTGTGAAATGGTTGCCACCTGAATCTTAAACCTGTGGTGGTTCATCTCTTTCCAGGCTCACACAAGTCTTCCTGGCTGGTTCCAAGAGAGAACAAAACCGTTAAGTGCTCTTTTCTGTGTGTGTTTCTGCTTCTTTATTTTTGATGATTGTGTGTACAGGCCATGTCCTTCTTCCACGTAGATAGAAATTAGTAAAAGGCACTTTGAATCCCTCCCAAGTCGATGCCCAGATTCAATACCCATGCTGGCAATGTTGGGAGTAGTGAAGGTTTAGTTCCTACTGACAGCTCTTGTCCATGCCACTAAGCTTTTATACTGCAACTTGTCATTTTCAGGAGGGAAACATTAAATAATGTAGCAACAAAAGATGTATTGATGTCCACAGTCCCAGCAGCAGTTTGGTTTGGGACATCTTTAACCATGTATCACAGCAGAGGGCTCTGGGGAACAGGCTCCTTGCACAGGGCTCTCAGCTTGTGTGTTGTCTTCTGGAGGACATAGTGCCTTCAAGGAAGTTAGAAAATACACCTTATTTTAGGTAGTAGGCACATAGTGGTGTGAGGTGGAGGAGCAACCTGCAAGAGAGGGAAGGAAAAGCCAGGTCATGCTGGCTCTTAGAAACAAACTTTGGGACTTTTCAGATCTGTTTTCACTTTGATGATTTCTGAGGGGAAAAATGACAGTGGTTTTCACATTTTGCTTGACAATTGCAGGCTGTAAATGTCTTGAAGTGTTTAGAGGCGTTTTTGCTACCTAAAAACCTGGTATTTAGCTGAAAGGTGCAAAAGAGATCTGTGGTGCAAAATAGGAGGCATAAGGATGTAGGAGGTCAGCTCTTTTGCTGCCATAAAAGACAAGAAAGCTGTGCAGACTTCCAGCAGATGAGGAACTGATCCAGAGTTTTTTTAGTATTTTTATGAGAAAAGACTACGTGACCTAAGACTACGAAAACTTTTTTCCGCTCCTGCCCTGCCCTCCCTTCCTCCCCATCAAATGTTTAGAATAGCAGAACTGAACTCACAGTTGTCTCTGTGCCAAATCTTAGGGCGTCAATGTAGGGGAAATCAACGTAACAGCTAAAATGTGTTTGTTTTCTGAAGATTACTTTTTCAACAAATATGAGTTGGGATTATTCACTGTCTATTTCCATTATTTTAGTGGTTTTCTGAAAACTTCCTTGCTTTGTCTCAGTGGTAGTGTCTTTTCTTGAAGCTGTTACTGATTTCCACCATTTTTACTCCCATCATGGACAAAACAAGGCAAGTAATATGTATTTAAGGCACAGAGAGACGCATATGTCAGCTCTTTTAGTGACTGCATACCAATCATTTAAATATTTTGTGTAGAAATGTGGGGATCCCCTTTTGTATAAAGGTTATTGTAGGAAAGTACCTTTAAGCAGCTTTTTAATGCTTTGATACCTTTCGGTATGGTATGGTTTCTGTCTATCCCAGCTGTCACCCTTGCATCTGATGTAATCAAGGGACACTTAGCAGACATTTGAGGAAATAAATCAGAGCTTACATTTATAACTTAAACATATAACTTTGTAAAATTTGTAACTGGAAATACTGTATTTTGAAGGACTGTCAGTATGTTAAAATTGTAAACCACTCCTAAAGGACCTAGAACGTCCAAGTTTATTTTATATTAGTAGACAATGTTTTGGAGCTCAAAGCTGCTGTCAACTGCTAATTAACTGAGGGGGGATGAGTATTCCTCCACTAAGACAACTTGATTACTTCTGAAGTTCCTCTGAAAAGACGTCAGAAGAAATCTAATGTGAAGACACCAGTTTTTCAGAGTTGTATTCGCTATTGCAGTGATATGTCAACTGAAAACTTGCTCTGCTGCTCTTTTTTGCAGGTGGAGTCGCCACGTGAAGGTACCTTTGTAGGGAGCTGAAGGACTTTTGTGTCATCATCTGTAAGTATCTACCCTCAAAATAACATTTAATTGTGTCTTTAAACTAGAGCTGCTGCTTTTCGTATCTCTATAGTAATTATTCCTTAAAATGTTATATTGCAGTTTTTTGCAAGTTTTTCAACACTAATTCTTAAAAATTGCCCTATCAATGAGCACAGGGAGCTTGAGTGGAAGTTCTGTTGTAGTCGTCTACTTGATGACACTATTGCTTTCATAAAGCAGTAACTGTTTTCCTTTCACTGAAAAGTTGAACTACTCCATCTCCTCTGGGTTGTAAGCCAAGCAGGCAGTGAGATGCATTTATTTTTCTGCTTTGCCTCTTGGGGTCTCCAAGAACAGAACTGTTACTACAGCACTCTTAGTGCATAAACTAGAGTGTGAAGATGGTCCTTGAGAATATTTCATGAAGAAAATGGGGTAAGATTTTATCTGTTTCTGTCTTACAGGGTAAAGGAAATAAAATTGTTGAGAATCACACGTCTGATTAGTGACAGAGCCAGGAACAGAACGTGGGTTTTGCGATCATCAGTTCGGCGGATTGCTCCCTGTAGAGAGGAAGGCAGATTAGTTCTGTGCACAGGGACTCGTATATCATTGGAATCGTCTGAACTCCAAAGCAGTTTAGCCTGGAAACTTCTAAATTCTTTGCTAGATGTTAAAAGCATCAGTCCCTATATTCACAAACTAGTCTTGAGAGTGTGTGAGGACAGTCAGTTATTTAAAGCCGTAGATGCATAGGTTGTGGATCTTGTCATGCAAAGGCATAAGATGGTATTTAGGGAGTCCAAGAAGTGATTGCCAGTGTGGGGAAGGGCAACCTGTAGAGAGAACAGACACTATGACATGTTATAGGAGATTTTTGTTTGAAAGTTTAATACTGTCATGTCTTGGCATATAAGCCAACACCTGTGTACAGTTTCAGAACTCACTTCACTTACTAATATGTACAAAGTCATTTTTGGATGCATCACTGCTCTACACATCACCTTGTTGAGAGAGCAGAGTACTGAACTGCTACTATTTCCAGAATGTCAGTCTTCCTCTTGGCCTGCCCCTCCCACAGTACGCTATCTGGTGGCAAACACCTTGCTAAACCGCAAGGTGCTATGCTGAGACTTCAACTAAATGGAGATTAAATTTTTTTTTTTTGACCTTGAGCTAATATTTTTATACTCGTGAAATTTTAAAAATCCTGTATTTTTGGGGGGGATTAGCTTTTCTTGTCCTTCAGGCTTATATGCTTCACTCAGGATATCTGAGGGCCTAGCAGCTGGTGGCCATGTGGATTTCTCATTGAGTTGTGGCAGATATTAATGCCTGAGGTCTTTGCAAAGCCTGTTTAGCACTCAGAAAATGAAATGTTCCCCCTTTCTGTAATACAGCGCTGATGCATGTATGACTTACTAACGCTTTGTGTACTGTCCCTGTGTTATGCAGAAGAGGTAGTGGTACCAAATGGTAACTAGATTTCATTGCCTGTGTGTTGTGTTGCATATATTTCTCGAAGGATGGTTGAAATAAGCCTCTGTTTGAATGTGTACTGCTCTGTACAGCTCACTTGCATTAGCAAACCTAGGCCAGTCACATTTCTAATGCTCTGTTCTGTTTGTTTTTTGTTTACACAGGTTCTGCCTGTACGCCTGCAGTCATCTGGCAAGATGGTATTTCAGAAACCACCAGATGGAGGCTGGGGCTGGGTCATTGTTGTCGTTTCCTTCTTTACTCAGTTCTTGTGTTACGGATCACCGCTGGCGGTGGGAGTCTTGTACGTAGAATGGCTGGATGCTTTTGGAGAAGGGAAAGGCAAGACTGCTTGGGTTGGATCACTAGCAAATGGAATTGGATTGCTTGCCAGTAAGTGTAGATGCAGTATCTATCTTAAATGGAAACATTTCTTTCTAATAGATGCTTTAATCTTTGTGTGCTTTTGAAATTTGATTAGAGACAGCTTAAAATGATAGAATTAGGATGCTGCATTTTTGTTTTAGGCCAAGATGGGTAAGAAGATTACATTTATAATTCCACTATACATAAACCAAAACAATATAATGGTAAAAGAGCAAAAAATACTACCCCAAGAAATAAACTAGAGAAACCAAACTCTGTCTGGAAAACTGAATGGTAGTTTTATTGATGGGATTAATTTTTTTTTAATAAGGCTTTAAGACTAACATTTGCATTAGTATCTTTGAAATCAGAGCAAACTGTTTGTCTGAAATGGTTCAAGTGCTTTAAGAAAAAATAAATCAATCAATAAACCAGCTACTCGTTTTTCAGCTCTAGAAGTAAACCCACCAGTTAGGATGGGTGAGGGCTCTTTTCCACTGTTTGTTTGAGAAAAAACTCTCTTTGAAGCCTAGAATATGGATAACAGTGGCATTAAATAAAACTACTTTACTGGAAGCTTTTCTTTAGTAAGACATTGTCACTTGGAGAGTAACAGCAGGGTTTTAGGGAAATAAAACATCACTTTGAAAGTCCATAGGTCCATTTGTTGTTGTTGTTGTTTTAATATCAAGCATGGGTATTGTACGGGGTAATATCACTTAACTTCTGCTTTTCAAAGATTCACCATGGGAACTATTATATTTTTGCTGAATGAAAAAGTTGCCTGTCAGCAGAGAAATTGCTATAAGCAAAAGCAAATACACAGCTTAATGGACAAAATGAAGCTCAGGATTCTGCGGAAATCTCTCATTAAAGGAGAGTTGACATTCAAATAGTGTTACAGAAAGGAATAAAGACCACTGCTTTGTATGATGCTGTAACTGGCCAAATACTGGTGTCAGACTTGTGTTGGGGTTTTATATCACCAGGCAGAACAGCAATGGGCAAAGGCAGGTGGATCATTAACCACAAGAAGACTACGTTAATCCCAGGGTGTTAGTGTGCAAAGGACTGTAGACTGCCCTTCAACATACCTTTTTATTTTCCCGTTTTAAGGGCATCAACTCCTATTACTAATGGATCAAGACCTAAACTTGGGAGCAAGAATGAAGGAGGGGGGGGGGGGGGGGGGGGAAGGCTAAACAAGACAGTTACTGAAGAAAAGCTAGGCAAAAGGGGATTGTAAGAGAAGGGGTGAAGAAAAACCCTCTCCCTGGAGACCAGAAGTCTCTGGATCACTCCTCTGACAAGAGCCTCTGCCCCATTTCTCTGATGTCAACATCATGCTAGTTTCCAGAGTTCTTAGTTCCTTCTGTCTTGCCACTGTGAGCAAATAGTCAGTAGTGTGCTTTATAGCAAATAGAAACTTCTGTGACTGGATAATACAACTAAAAGGTACTATTGTAATTGATTTTGGTGTGGAATGATAAAATTACTTGTAATTTTGACAGGTTAGGAGGAACATAAAAGCCAGTGTACTTTTATTCTTTCAGTTTGGCAGTTGGAAGATTAATATTCCTATTTTTAATACCTTCAAAGACAAGTACAGTGAGGGCCTTTTAATTGCGTTGATGTTGTCAGAGTTGACTGAAAACAAAATTATATTCACTGCATTAGCTAGGATTTGACCTTAATGATAACTCTACTTAAAGTAAACTTGTTGGAGGAACACTGTATCATAACTTCTACCTAAAGCTAGAATGCTCTTGACAAGTTGCAATTTTTCATGAAGTTTTCATAGCAGCCCTTTTTCAGACCTAGTCACTAGTGTAGAGAATGTAAATGTTTTCAGTGCAAAACCACTGATATAATGCCTTGCCAAATTAGGCCTTTTTCATGAATATAGGAAAAGAGAACTTGCTTCTGTTCTGATTTCTGCTAGTACAGGTTCCAGTATTATAGGTCAGGTGGGGCCATTGTGTGTTCTAGCCTATGTGGGGCCATTGTGTGTTCTAGCCTATGTTAAGTAGGTGATCAGGCCAATTGCATTTTTCTGAATTAACAGATGTTCATGTATGTGAAAAGATATTATCTGTAACTTAACAATGTCCCCAGGCAAGCTGATTTTCAGCAGCAATATTGCACCTGGGTGTGCTAGTAACAGGACAGCTTTAACCCAAAGCCTTTTGGTAGTCCCCTTACCTTTTACTGTTCCTAGCTTGACTCTTCTAGTATTGTTTGTTCTTTCTGTTCTCCTCCTTTAATTTTGGTTTCCAGTCTCTGATCTAGTTATCCAGAGACATATTTTCAAGTATTGGTAGTCTTAAAGCAATCCGTGTTGCATGTAGAAAATATTGTAATTCTCATTTGATTAAGAGTATGTGTGTTTAGAGCATTCTCTGGCTCATAACTTGTCTCAGTAGTTAATTCCCTCCTTAGAAGTATGTAATCTTATGATACAAGTTGCTTAGTTTTACTTTTCAACTGATGAATAATGCTATCTTTAAGTGGTGTATTTTGAAGTGTCCCTGAATTAGTGTGGTGTATGTCTAGAGACTGCAATCAAATTACTTCTGAATTTTCTTTTAAGCCTGTAGCTTGATATAGTCTTCTTGCCGTTGATACAAGAGACTTCAGCTCTTTGCATTAAGGCTCTGCTGAAGACCCATTAACAGTCTTCTGTGAGCCCTCTCCAACTTAACGTCACCTTTCTGAAGCTGTAGATGCCAGACTGGAAAAAGAATTGCAGTTATAATGTATTTGCAGCTACATACAGGAAATAAGTTAGAGTCTGTTTTCTTAAGGAAGACTTCTCTCGTTGGTAGCACTGGGAATCACATTAGCTAGCTTCTGTGACAGTGGAAGGTAGGCCCAGTGACTTTGCTATATTAGTACTGGAATTTCACCAAAAAGAAGAAAATGTCCTCCTGTGTATGCCAGCTGGCATAGGAAAAAGTTCTGTGTGTCTTCTCCCCTTCCCTCTGTACATGTAGTCTTAAACATTTTTCGAAGTAGCTGAAGATGGTGAGTCCTTTCACATTTGCTGTGTTGGTATCCTTTCTACAGTGTTTACTTCTGACTTGTGTGAGAGCTAAACTTAGACTTGAGACATAGAAACCCAGTACAGCACCTTGTTTATTGAGATGGATTTCCTAGGCACCTGGTGTTCAATTTCTGTCCTCTTGCTCGCAGCACAGGCAGCATTGCTGAGGCCAGTGATCAACCCTGAGCTGGGCTGTTAGCTCATCAGCTGGGAAAGGGAACGGGACAGCGACCTGGTTGATCTCATCCCTTGCAGAATGACTTGCGTCATAACTTTCTGTGACGGGCCCTTACAGTGTATAGGAAGAAGTGTGCCTAAAACAGTGAAAGAAAAGCATCAGTATTACTGTACCGGGCAGTGGTGAGACCTCCTTTACAATGTGAGGTGTCATAACACTGGGCAGATGTGGCATGTGGCTCCATGGATGATGCAGGTCTTGTTGCATAGGAAGAAATTGAAAGAGCTTAGCATACTACTACTTCTAAAACAGGCCAGAGGAGGATATTTATTGTGTTGTTGAAGATCATGTGTTTCTCCTGCACCAAGTGTGTTCTTAATTTTACATCCATTTGGAGCCTGAAATTAAATTTGATCCATGTTACACTTGTTAAAAGTGAAACAAAGACCTTGGCGCCTGTAATGGGCATCACAGCTGTTTGTAGTAAGAGTTGACTTCACAGTATTTGGCACAGCAGGATACACAAGCAGTGTCTCCCCTTCCCACTGCCCGTTACTGGAGAAAGAACAAAGGGAAGATTCTCCCTTGCAAGGCATGTCTTGATAAATTAATGGTGTGTTTCTGCTGGTCTGAGGCATTCAGTGTTAAATGTTTAAAAAGCTTAATTTTGTATTTTCAAGCAGTCATTTTACAACTCTAAGAAAACATTTGCAGCATCTACATATTTTTGAACAAAAACCTCACACATAGAAAGCCCCCACTGTAGACTGTGGAAGCCATGTATAGTTTGTGTGGGGGGGAGAAGGTGTCCGAAAGATTCCTCTGAAGAGGATCACTGTTCATTTAATAACTTTTGTCAGAAAGGAGCAGTCATTTCAATCAGTTGGGAATGGGTTGCTGTCTAGTGTAAAAAGGCTTTTTCTGATCTGTATTCTTATGCAAAGTACAAACATTTGGAGAATATTATATTTATTGCAGTCATGTTTTAGCAACACATTTTATATGCGAAAACAGTTCTTGTGTTCTGTCCTGTGGATTTTATGTACAATCCATGAGCGTTGCTTCCACTCTACAGTTTCAACAGGCTCGGACAGATACCGACAAGTCAGATTAATGCATGTGATAAGAAAAAGAACTCGGTTGTCCAGTAGGGTTTGTTTAGCAAAAGGTTTTGTGTGCATGTGTAAGGTGAAGGGGGGAGGACCCTCGAGATGAGCAAGTGGAGGAAGAGAGTGTTAGTCTGCAGTTTTTTTCTCTTTGTGTGAGAAGATTGAGGAAGAGAGCGTTAGTTCTTGATGTCCGTTAAACAAAACGACTCTGTACTTGTCAGGGAGTCAGAAGATCACAGTGTGAGCTTTAGATGGCTTCTTTTCACATTTCGGGAAGGACTTGCTCTCACATCCGGGTCTCACTGAGGATAAAGTCTTCCATTAAAAAAAATCTTAATGAAAATATCAATGTACAAATGATCCCTCCTAGGAGTTCTTCCTCTTTGATCTCTCTGCATGAAGATCTACTGTGACAGCCCGTCTTCCTTCTGCTGCTTCTTCCCATTTTGTCTAGGGATCTTCTTGACTGCTCCCCTGCAGAGCCTGATAATTGTATTACTGTCTGCTGAGCCTTGGCAGATCACGTGCAGAAGAGCAGTGGCTGTCCCTGTGCTGGCTTCTAAGTCTTTCTTTCTAGAATTAGCCATCATTCTTATAAACTGGGCTGGTATCTTTTTTTTGGATAGAGTTTGATCTAGTTTTAAGATACATCATTTGGAAGGAAAAAAGCCCCAGGGTTTTTATTTGTAAAAGAGGTAAATATTTATCAACGTCTTCAAATATTATTCTAATACCAGTGCTAACCCTTGCTTGGCAAACTGAACACAATGCTGTCTTAAAAGCTATTTTCCATGCTTACTGTTGAGGATTGCCAGTGGGATTTTATTTTTATGTTGTTGATATTACAGTGAGAAATACATTATCAGTGGAAGGATCTTTCTGAAAGAGAGTCAGCTGATGAAAGCACTTATGTTTCCTGAAGACCTGTTTCCTGTGCAGCTGTATGTAGACTCCTACATTCCTCAGAATGTCCACTTTGAACAAAATCCACAGGGCAGGAGTTCACAGAGCAAGTCTCAGTCCCACCCTGGGCAAGTTGGATGTTTGATTAGAGTTACCATTGTGCTTGAATGACTTGTAGAGAATAACATATTTGTGTGCAGTGAACTCCTGTGCAAATACCATGATAATAACCAAAGGTACTGTGCCTGGTGGGAAAAAAATATGCCAGCACCTTGGAAACAGAGAAAGAAAAGGAATGCAAGGAGGCAGGGAAGAGAACAAAGATGCTGGCTGTCATGGGAATTTTCTTTTCTGGCTTTTATTTTCTAGCAGTACGGTGAGGGGAGTGTGAAGGTAGAGCCTACTGTGAAGGGGAAGATGGAGCTGTTTTTCTTCTCACCCCAGAGACCAGTAATAACTATTTTAATAGTTATACTGGCACTCCCTCTTATAAGCAGGCCTATTTGCTGAGCTGCCAGATCTCTTGCTGTGTGAGATGACATGTTAATACTGAGCTTATTGGAGCAGGTTCTTTAGTTTTGTGCAGGTTGTTTTCCATGTCAGAGCAAAAAGATCTCTTTGTACTTTCTGTTTGCCTTTGGGATTATTTATTTTAAATAGGAAAAGCTGGAAGAGCATCTCCTTGAACCCTGTCAGAGATGCTTTTGGTGGTGTTCCAGAGGAGAGCATCCTTGTCAGATTATGAAGATATATTTTTCAGCTCTGTGTCTCCCTTGTTCTAGCTTGGGGTCAGAGGGTCCCCAGCTTCACCTTGGATCCTCTAGTATCGATCGGTACAGTCTGTACCAGTACCACCACCCCAGGCTGGACAGTGACCTTCTGAAAGTAGCTGTGTCAAAATATAGAGAGCAGGTGGAAGGGAAATACTGTTTGTTTTAGCAGAAATAAATAATAGAAAAAGTGCAAATTCCTCTGCTTAATTGAATTATGTTATCACTAATGTTCTTTTACTGTAGAAGAATTTATATAATACAAATTCAATCCTTCGTTTATTTTTTAATCCTGTGGTTTTAGGAAACATACCAATCTTAATTTGCCAGTTTAATAATTAATTGTCAGAATCAGCAGCAATCTAACACTCAGCTTTTGTTCTCGGCAAGTTACTCTGCCCAAGTTATTCTGGCCGTCTTTCATTCCCTCAGCATGCTGACTCTTGAGAAGCAGCAAGCACTTACACCTTACTTTTTTATCGTTTCCGAAATCCGAATAAACCCTACTCCCCCAGATGATTTTTCTTAATTCTTCTTTAATTCTGACTCTTTGCCTCCGTAAGCCCCAATTCAGCCTCGCTTCCCTTTATGTTCCCTAGGCAGATCACTCTTGTGTAGAGTAAAAGTTCTTTCCTTTCAGGATCATTTTGCCTGCTAGCGAATCTGTGCTCCTGTCTGCCAGAACTGCTTGTCCTGTGGCCGATAACCACACGAAAACCTTGCCTACATTCCCAGCTGCTAGCTCCTGTCTGCAAACCTAGGCAAGCACCATCCTCAGCTCCAACTGTTCTTCACCTCATATCACCTCTCTGGGCTTACCTCCCATCTGCCAGGAATCTCAGTTATGTGTGAGTCAGGGAGGACCAACCTTAAAGAGTGGCAGACTCCACATTTACTGCTTTTGCAGATTGCATCGACCATGGCCTGTCTTTGTATTGCTGTGAATGAGATACGAAGGTGGTGAGGGGTTTTTTGTTGTTGTTGTTTTTTAAAAAATGTCATTCATCTGTGTATCTAACTTTTAATCTCAGAGTTGATGAGTTTAGGATGTTGGGGCTAATATATAAGCCTATGCATGAATGTTCAGACTGCAAGGTTTCAGATGAGAGATTGTCTTTTGCAAGCCAAGTCCCTTGCTGGTCGCTTATTTATGCAGGGCACCAAGCTTGCACGGTACTTCAGACTGAAAGGTGTATTCCAGGTCACAGAACTGAAAATAAGTGCTTGTTCTACAGCTTTTGCGAAGGGAGAACTGGCTGAGTGGAGGCAGAGTGCAAATGTTGCCTGAACTTTGCTCTTGTTTTGAAGAACTAACCAACCAAGAAATACTGGGGGGAAAAAAGGAGGTAAAGAGAGGGAGAAACCTTTTCCAAACTTCATGAATGTTGCTCTGGACATTCTGAATAAATGGCTTTTATTTTCCATAGTTTTACAGAGGAAACCAAGATAGGTAGTTATTTTGTAAAATACTGACTAGCAGGTATTTATTTCCCTAGAAAAACAGGGAAGAGTAGTGTTTGTATTTATCTGGTATATCAGCAGATATTTCCTCTATGTAAGCACCAGGTGGCATTCTTACCATGATTATGTCTGAAGTTACTATTTTCTATTTCAGTTTTATAAATCTTATTTTATATTATGATGAATACAGTCTTTCTGAAACACAGTTTTTGGGCTCTGTCAAAAAATACCTGCTTGGTTAAAGCCTGTCTGATGGTCTAACTTGTTTTGGTACCTGAAGCTGAAGATTCTTTTCAGAACCTTTGTACAAGTCCTTAGGTGTATAGTAACAGTGTTATAGTTTGGTATGTATGTATCATGTTATGTTTACAGAATGTTTTACTGATACCATTTCATGGTTTTGACGTCAGTTTCTCCTTGAGCAAAAATCTTGCAAGCTTCATCTCGTATGTTTTTATAACAGACTCTTTTAAAGAAACCTGTAAAAATTAGTACTCTGAATTGTTGTTTCAAATAATCATATATTTAAATAATTATCATAAAAACATTTTCATAGACTGATATTTTTTAGAAGTTCTTGCTGGTGCTGGTATTTACTAGGAATGTTTTTCCTGCTTTTCCTCTAGGTCCTGTCTGCAGTATATGCGTATCATCTTTTGGAGCAAGACCAGTAGCAATTTTCAGTGGCTTTATGGTGGCTGGGGGCCTCATGATGAGCAGTTTTGCACCTAACATATACTTTCTATATATTTCATATGGGATTGTTGTTGGTAAGAAACACTTGCCCTTCATATGGAGGCTTAATTTTTATTATTTTGAGTCTTGGTTTATGAACCTGAAACAGGAAACTGATTCACAGAGGCAGTGGTAATCTGGGACTTGATTTATCAAGGAATACTTTACTTTGGGGTGGGCAGGGGTGTCACACAGGCAGGCTGTTACCATGTAGTGAAAGATAAAGGCAATGCATATATTCATCAGGGTTTGAAAACAGTTTGTCCTCTGTTGACACGATTGTTAGAGATGGAGAAGCTGAGGTTTTACATGAAGGGTGGAATCAAGAAGGTCTTCTGCAGGTGTGAAGTGCCAATCTTAACATCTCTTCTAGAATTTTGTCATGTACTCATTCTAATTTCATAAATTAGAGATCATTAGAGAGCCATGTTTTTCTCTGAATAACTGGATTGCACCTGAACTGCTGTGCTAGAGGCATGAAAGTGCTGTTCTCCGAGCAGGTGGTGACCTGCCCCCGTGTGCTGCAGAGGGCTGCTGTGGGTGGTTTATTAGATTAACGGTGTCGGGAATCCAGGCACCTCGCTGTCCCGCAGGGACCCAGCAGTATGCTGGCTTGGGCGCAGTGCCACATGGATGCAGCCCTGCTGTTTTTGGGGCCAGCCTCTGGACTGACAGCTATGTAACCCTCCCACATGGCACAGAGCCTGAGCTGGTAAACTCCTCAAACCCAGCCTGCTTCACGCAGGTTCTGCAGCCAGGGATGGTCAGGGGAGGGGGAGGTGAGACAGCGCAGGCAGCCTAATGGCCCTGTCAGTACGGGGCTGGTGTGGCTGGTGCTGAGCCAGAGTTAAAAGGTACCTCTGTGCCCAGGGTACACTACTGTATTATTTGGGGAATAAAAAGGGGCACTCATTTCCCAGATTATATTGCACACTTTATTTCTAACTCTCTTTCTTAAGGGCTTGGATGTGGCCTTTTGTATACCGCAACGGTTACCATCACTTGCCACTATTTTGACAAACGCAGAGGCCTTGCACTTGGTCTGATTTCAACAGGTATGGCTTTTAATTGTCATTCTCTCTAACTTTTTAACTCTGATACAGAGGCCTTTACCCTGGCAATAAAAACCAGGAGATTATATTTTTCTCAGTTACTTCCAGAAGTAATTCTTAAGTCAAAACACCAGTAGCAATGAACAGGTAAAATCAGGCTTCAGATAAAACAGTAACTACATTTGCAGGTGTATGGTATGGGTTATCCGTATAGATGAGAAAAGGATATTCCCTAAAATGAAAGCAGACTCATGAGTAACTTGGGCTGTATACCGTGGGTAATAGGAGGGGAAACTTTCTGTAGAGCTGTCTTCTCCCTCTTATTTCTTACACAAGATCAGAGATGAGAAAGAGATTGGAGATGCAGGATATAAATGCTGGATCACCATAACCTCACATTAGCTGTATTGGGCTTACACTTTTAAGCCCTCACATTGGGCTTACATTTTTAATATTACATTTTTAATATTTTTTCCTTTCAAATCTAAAAGGAGACTAAATTCTGAAGTCTTCCAAAAGCTCATCCCAGCTTTTTGTCCATCTATGTTAAAGGGATCCTGGAAGAATGAACCCCTGATAATACAAGGAAAATTATTTGAAGGATTCTGAGCAGTCTTTCTTATCCTCTCTCTGGGTCTTAAGGTTGTGTGATGTTGTCCTTTACACTTGAGGAATTAATGGACCAAGTAGGAGCTGCTAAAGAAGGCTGTTGTCCCATGCCTTGCATTCTGTGATGTATGGAGTCTCTCCTCTGGTCTGTTTTCTCAAGTAGCTCTTAGTGGGAAGAGGCCTGATCAGTACAGTTGGTGTTATGAGATATTAATGCCAGATCCACCCCAGTGGAATAAAGGGGAACTTCTGCAGAAGTGTTCCTTGGAATCATTTTCAGTGGCTTTTGCTGGGATTTGAGGTAGTTTGCATTCAGGCCTGATCTTATTGAGCTCGTGTTCATTTTAGCACCTGGAAGACAAAACAAGTCTGAATTTTATGATTTTTTTTTCCCCTGTGTTTGGCACTGAGGTATATAAATGGTATATATGGTATATATAACCTAGAGACAGTCTTCAGTAATAAATTTGAGTTTAATGTTTGTCTTTAAATTGACTTGAAAAACCAGTGCTCTGTACTTGTGAGTGGACATCCATTGTCGTGGACATCCATTGATGACAATGGATCTATGCTCACTTCAACTGAGAGCTTTTTCCTTAAATTGGTGGGATTGCATAAAATGCTTGTGTTCATAGTAATTCTTTACTCTTCAGTGTTTTCTTCTGAATAGCCAAGTTTCTTAAATGCATGTTTGTCCCTGCAGAGCTTGAGAAATACCTTTAGAGTAAACTCGCATCGTGTGAACCTCCATCCTTAAACACCAAGCAGTCAAGGGCTGTTTCTAGGAGGGCTCTTGGCAAACCCCTGGCCTGTTCCTGCCTTAGAGGAGGAAGGTGTCAGTGAGGAGAAGAAAGGGGAAAATGTTGGAGTGTGAAATTCTAATTGTGCTAACTCAGAATGGTACCTGAAGGGACACATGTATGTGAGTGCATGGCAGAAGGATGGCTTAATAGTTCTTTGATGTTTTTTGTCAGATATAGTATTGATCCTGTTTGTTTCTAAAGTGTCCACTAGTGTTAATTGTCATAAATAGTTCAGATATTTTGAAAGGGTTTTTATTTAGTGGATACTCAATAAAGAAACTGTAACTTCAAGAGATGATAACTTACCAGTTCATTAGACTGGGGAGAGAGGAGCACAAATGACTTACCATTCCTGTGACAGTGTATTTGTAGCTGCTGAAATGTAGAGGTTTGTTAGTGTTGAAAAATGTTCTCAGCTCTTCAGTTTAAACTAATCTTATTTTCCTTTTATAGGCTCAAGCGTTGGACTCTTTATATATGCAGCATTGCAAAGAGAGCTTATTGATCTATATGGACTGGATGGTTGTTTGCTAATAGTTGGAGCACTGTCTCTAAATATATTAGCATGTGGCAGCCTAATGAGACCATTGGAGTCATCTGATTCCCTTCCACCAGAAAAAACATGTGTAGACAAAGTCCCAGATCAATATTTTGTTTACCATGAAAAAGGAAAGACTATTGAAGAAAATATAAGCATCCTTGAGAAGGGCTACGCTGATGAAAAAGGTGTGAACAATATGCCTGATTACAAACAGGATAGCTTTTTGAATAAGAATGTATTAAACTCAATAAACATAAATGAGAAAGACACTTATAAAAAGATAGTTGTAGAGCAGACAAACTTCTGCAAGCAACTTGCCAAAAGGAAGTGGCAGCTCTATTTGAACTACTGGGAGGAAACCGTGGTTCTTTTTAAGAACAAAGTGTTTTCAGCTCTCTTTGTTGCCATCTTGCTCTTTGATATTGGTGGATTTCCTCCTTTTCTGCTCATGGAAGATGTGGCAAGAAGTGCAAACGTTAATGAAGATGACTATCGTGTGCCCCTTATTTCCATTATAGGCATTATGACTGCTGTTGGCAAACTTATTTTAGGAATACTGGCAGATTTTAAGTGGGTTAACACTTTATATCTATACGTAATTACCTTACTAATGATGGGAGTGGCCTTGTTTGCAATTCCATTTGCCAAAAGTTACCTTACATTAGCGATGCTTTCTGGGATTTTGGGTTTTCTGACTGGGAACTGGTCAATTTTTCCATATGTAACAACAAAGACTGTGGGAATTGAGAAACTGACTCACGCCTATGGGATATTGATGTTCTTTGCTGGACTTGGAAATAGCCTCGGACCGCCAATTATAGGTAAGATCAAGGTAGATAGTGTAAAATGAACATGAGCTTGTCAGGACCAGACAGAGTTAACTTGCATATGGCTAGTTCTAGTTGGTCCTAATAACAATGGAAAGATTAAATCAAAATCTTCAACAAAAGTTAAAGCCTGTTTTGCTCGAGCTGGCCAAGCTGATTGCGTTCTGGTTTTGCCTTTGATGAAAATCTTCATTTCATGTCTAAGTGGTCAAACTGCGTTTTAGATTTGG